AACCAGCCAGCCGCCTGCTGCGTGCTTTTTGGTGCCTTGCCAACTGCCAGCAGCAAATAAGTCCCGGAAAACAAAACAGCCTCCCAATTTCTGATGCACAAAGCGAAAAAAAGCTGGAAATATAATATATACACTTAAGCTTCCTTAATTTATTACCCAAAATTTGTGATTTATAAAGTCATTAAAACTATTTATTAATTTATGCTGTGCTATTAAGCTGCTCTTATTTTCAGCAATTTCTACAAATATTTTTATATTGTTTTAGCGGCTAGTAAAATTATAAATAAGCAGCAGTTGATATTCAAAGCAAAAATATTAAATTCAGTTTATAAAAGTTTCTAGAAATTAACAGTATAATATTATAATAATATTCTTTTTGCTGTGCAGCCAACCTCAAACACCACACAATATCCAGAGCTTAGGCAAAGCCTGCAATGTGTTTTAGTTGAGTTTATGAATAAAATTACACAGGACCAGCAGAGGTCAGGTTGGGAGGGGTCAAAGGGTGGGGTAAGAGGCACTCCGGCTCATATCAACGCCAACAATGGATAATAAGCGTATCCACTTAATGGTTGCCAAGGTGCCGAGGTGGAGCACACGGTGGGATTACTAGCATTGTGGATCTGCGAGTGCCAAACCCGCGGTCAAATGCCAACGAACAATGCCCAAGAGTGGGTGGTTTTGGTGCTGGTTCGGTGGGTGTGGGTATGGGTGTGGGTGTGCGTGTGTGCCAAAAATCCTTTGGCCGTAATCAAGCGGAAAATAGCACAATGACTATCTACAATATATCTGGGACAATGGAAGACACAGGCTGCAGGCAGGAGGAAAACTGGCGATTGTCAGTTGAAAAACAAAAGGATTTCGCACACACACACTCTCAGTCGAGTTAATAAGTGCAAAAAGGGGTGGCCAATATAACAGGCGGAAGGGGGCGTGGCATTGCGTACAAGCAAAACAGATCAAACTGTTACAAGAAGGCAGCCAGTGATGAAATTTCGAGAAGTCAGTGGGTGGATCGAGAAGTCCTATACTAGTATAACCTCAAGAAACCATAAAGTCATTCAAACTAAATTTATAACATCATAAAATGTTATACGCACAAAGGATTACATATAAGTAGTTTCCCCAAAATGTCAATGCCAACCCTCGTTATTTGAAAAATATCAATAAGTTGCAGACAAAGTGTAGCTATCTCACTCGCCCCTTCTGAAAAGACCTCCACTTGTCTCCAATTTTGCATTCACATTGCGCATACGCCACGTAGGTCTCTGTATATCTGCAGGCACATAAGTGTGTTTGCTTCTGACTGCAATTGTTGCCTTTGATTTGGTATGCAGACATTCTGAAGTCTATTATGCGGGTTCATAATTGATATGTGATTAGGAAATAATTGGACTTTTTATGCAGGAATAAGACATTTTCAGATTGATTTTGCTTAGATTGTGCATACATAAATGTGGCAATATTTAATTTAATCTTTTGATAAAAATATTTAAACTGTTAAGAATAAATAAAATGGCAAGAATATTTTAGATAACAATTAATAATTTTTACCAAGGACGAGATAAAATGTTAAGCTGTGTGAAAAAAGGCAGCATTCCTGCAGAGATATTCCCGGAATTGCATTTCGCTGCCAAGTCCTGCTAATTGCTCGCCCGCTAATGACTCCCAGCAAAATATACTGGCCACTAACTACCGACCACGCCCACCCAGGACCCGGGAATTCGCCAACAGCCATTTGCGGCAACTAAGTAATTGCGCTTAACAACCCAAGCGATTGAATTAAAACGGGACAAGGAATAGAAAAAAATTATACAAAATGTTGGTACTTCATAATGGAGAGCGGCCACAACTGCTGCTGGTGACCATGTCCCCGCCCACGATCACGGCGAGTTGGCCAAAGAAAATGCAGCTTAATGCTGAATTAATTCCAATTACCGCATTGCCCCCTGTCCACCATCCTTGACCATCCTTGGCGGTGGACGAGCGCACTCGGCGGACTGGCCAGTAATTTAGCCGCTAATGCGCGGAGTGCGGCAACAAAGGCCGCCGCACGCGCTGACCTCCAGCTCAGACCGTGTCCAGCTTACTCAGTACACTGCCAGAAAAAATACTAAAAATAAAAATAGTAATACAGAATATTATAAATATAAATTGATATAGATATGAACTCAAGAATTATCTTTTCTATGGTTAAAATGTATTGACAATCGCTGTGTTATCTTCAAGATTTCATTAATAATTTTCGATAAATTCATTAAATGGCTTTATTAAAAGAACATCTTTGTTTCCTGTTTTGCTTGGATTAATAAATTGGCATATATCAATTAAATGTTTATATCATTTTTTTCCGTGCATCCCCATCCAATTGCCACTCTGCATTGCCATGGCCCTTTGTGCGAGGTTTTAACATGAATTTATTTTATATAAAAATTTTCCTTTTTCCGCCAGCCATCGGCCACTTGTTTGGCTTTCAGAAGACTCGACTCACTAATTAATTATTAATTAAGTTGGAAAAAATGGACAAACACCCCGAACCCCGCCCCTCTCAGCGGAATGAAAGATGCCTTTGCATTCAGTTTGAAACTTTTGAAAGTATTCCAATTTTCTAGCATTTTTCTCGTCCGCTTTGCGCAGAACTTTGTGGGCGGAAAACTTTCAAGCTAGCTGGAAAAACTTTTGGCTCAAAGTGTCGCCTACCGACGACCACGCCCCCTAGGGAAACCTAGAGCCAAAAGTTTTTACTGTCGCATTTCTCCGACTCCAGCCAAGTCGGCACTAAAACGCAGCCCTTGTGAGGGAAGGAAACCCACAACGTTAGCTGGTCCTTGGAAGGGATATGAAAGGAGAAGGCCCGACTTAAACAAAAAGCACGTGTCCTGAAGCGCCTTTCATCATGCGAGCACTGAAACTCAACTGACCTTCCGACTTGGACACTGGCCATGTGCAAATTGTTAACTGCGAAAACACACGAGTATGTACAAGAAGAAAAAAAGAGCGAAAGCCCTGTTCAGAAAAGCGCAAACATTTATATTTAATTGGTGGTTTATGCTCGAGAAGTGGCCTTGTGTCTACCCAATTGAGTTTCAAAGTTGCAATTAGAGCAGCCTGAATGAACGACTGACCACATTTTCCATGGGGCTATGGAAAAGTGGGTGGGTGGTCAGGTGAACTGGTGGCTGCATTCAATGGAAACAGTTGAGATCGGGGCAGTCCACAAAGTGGGGAGATGGGCAAAAAAAGGGCACCCCAGTGGAGAAACAATGCACATTCAAAAGAAACAAGTCGCAGACCATTAACCACAAAAAGCCCTTTTTTATATAGAACATAAAGTGTTTTTTATGGACGGCTGGACCACATTTGAATGGGGGTGAAAATATTGTACGTAGTTCATAAACTCCTTTCAATATCAACTTAATTAATTTCAATTCCAAAATAACCGGAAGAAATCCTTAAATTCCCATGTAAACGCTTCGAACCAAAAACAATCACCGTAGAATCAAAGGTATTCAGTTTTACCATAACCACTTATTTCACTTCATTCTTTTTGATTAATGGAAACTCTTTGAAACTAAGTACTTAATGCTGCCTGGCGAACTAACGCAATCTCGACACGAGCAAAGCTAAATGGAAATGAAAAACCAAATTGAATTTACCTTGCCTTTGACTATTTCGACACTCATGCAGTGCCACGCCCCCTTTTATGGATCAGGCAAATGTGCCAAGTGTTTATGGGTGCACTTAAAGAAAATAATATTAAAATAAAATTTAATATTTGCAATACAATAATGCAAGCAATTATTATGTAACTAAAGTCGTTTATTTTTTATTTACTGGTTTGTAAAACAATTTCATAACTGGTAAATATTTAAAGATTTTTTTCCGTTTACTGACTGATGGATTTTGCTTCGATCGACGACGAATGCATTGACGACGCCGACTCGATGATGACTTCTTTACACGACATTTAATTGAGAAATAATTGAATAGGTCGTGTCAAGTGTTTGTTTGGCGTTTGGCTGGCTGAGGTCTGAGGTCTGGGATGCGGAATATGCGATGTGCGATATGGATAATGGGTGGCACGGGATCTGGGTCTCCGGAGAGGTCTGGCTTTCGTGGCGAAATTAGCTTTGTCAAATGCGGCACGGGTTGAGTGGTGCGGAAAGGTCTATTGCAGCGTGAAAATGCCACTGCGAGTTGTTTAATGAAGTAGTCACAGTCGGCGGAGAAAGTCGAAGGCCCTTCCGTTTTCCCACCACTGAAAACAAAGCCCAGTGGTGCAGTCAAAGGAATGGTGGAAAAAAACACACATCCACAAGGGGGAATTCACGTGTGATTGGAACCTCAAATAATCGTCCTGCAATCGGGTTGAGAGTGGGCGGGGCCTGGGAAATTGTCGCCCGGTGCAGTCAGCCGAGCACTTATAATTGCAGTTGCAGTTTGGCCGATCGCATTGTGGTTTGGGAACCATATTAGTCCGGGTATTACCAACAAATCAACAAATCATTTAATAAACCTAAAGTAGGCGAAATAACTCTCAATTTTATCTTAGTAAAAATTAACCCGAACAAGGTTTTAATTACTCATTAATAGGAAAGGAAAAACACTCGTAATTTTACGCACTAGATAGTCATGCTTCATCGGTATGATTTTTTTAAACGTGACTTTAATTTAACTGCCGAACCATTCATGAACTTGAACTCGCATCCCAGTTCAGGTGTACTGATGTTATGGACCAATTAAAATTGTCATCAGTCACTTAGTTTTATGAAGTGTCGTCTAGCAAAACCGAAATATTCCAGCTTTGATTACGTCAGCATCTGATGCTCCCGTCATGACAATTATAACAAAAATTACACCGGCCGGCAGACCCATTTTCCGTGAATTCTAGGTTAAAGCCAATGTCGCTTCTAGAACTGGTTTCCATAGTCACATTGTTCTATAAAAGAGCTGTGTTTATCAGAGCTTGCTCCATTTATAAACATTTAGCAGTCGAGCACGCAATGAATCAGTCAAGATTGGAGTTTATCTGCTGGAGCTGCCTGCTCTTAATAATACTTGCAAAAGCCGAGGCAGCATCGGTTTGGAAACTACCAACTGCAGAACAAGTTTACGAGGATTTGGAAAACTGTCGCCTAGAATCCCATGAAGAGGATGCAGCCACATTGAGATGTTTGGTTACAAAACTGGGACTTTGGACAGACGAAAGCGGCTACAATGCCAAGCGGATAGCAAAGATCTTCGCAGCCCATGACCAAATGGAGGAACTGATGCTCGTGGTGGAATACTGCAACCAGAAGGAACAGAACAAATCCCAACTGGACGACTGGGCCTTCTCGGCCTACAGGTGCGCCACTTCTGGTCAGTTGGGCCATTGGGTCAAGGATTTTATGAGCCAAAAAGATGTTGATTAATAAAATAAAAACAAATTTCAATAAAAAAATAATACAAAAAATAAAATTGGTAAAATTGGTTTTAGCAATTTCAGAACACTGGGAAAAATCTGACATGAGCAGGGCTCAAAATTTTGACCATCCGAAAATGGAAAATTTTGAATGCAGTTTCATTAAGGACGAGATTACAATCGTTTAGAGGCATGCCGCTTTAAAATCGGATTAAAGTTGACAAAGATATGGGCTGTGGACCTCTAGAACTAGGTCTCCTATTGGCAAAATATCGGAATATTAAGAAAAATCTGACATAAACAGGAGACAAAATTTTGAACGTCCTAAAATGGAAAATTGTAAATCCAGTTGTATCAAGGATGCGATTACCAACGTTGAGAGGTATGCCACTTTGGAATCTGATTAAAATTGACCAAGTTATGTTATGTACGTTTAAGACCATAACAAAACGGGATGTGGCGCCATCTATTGTAAGGTAGAGACATAAATATTTATGTTGCACATTTTCAATGCAACAAAAGGTATTATTGAAATGAATTGAGTATTAAACTTAAATTTAACTTTAAATAAAATAAACAGCAAATCATTTAGTACAAATCTGTGTTACGAGTGCATCATTTATTTAAAACTTGAACTGCAAGCAAGCGATCAGATGGTTCTGGACGGCAGTATCCGTGGCTCCTCTAGACCTTAACGCTGTGCTGGACCAGCTGCAGGTTGGAGTTCATGAAGCACATGCCGGCGTGGTAGGCCTTCGAGCAGGAGTCGCCCTCCTTGGAGTGGGTCTCGGCACAGTGGGCGATCTTCTGGTGCGTCTCGTCGGAATGGTCGGCCTGATTGGGTCCAGCCAGCTGAACGTGGATCTTGTGGACATCGAAGCCATGCTCCGGATCGTAGAAGCCGAACTTCTGGAAGACGCACTCCAAGTAGCAGCGGGTCACAGAGTCATCGGGGTACTGCCACTTCTTGTACTTATCCACGAGCTCCTCGCTGGCGTGAACCTTCTCGGCACAGTAGGTGCGATAGGTCACCAAATCGTCGTGGGTTTTCACCACATACTCTTCGTGGTGGTGGTGATCGTGATCGGCGAGGGCACAAGCCAAACCCAAAAGGAGAACAATAAGGACCTTCATGACGAAGTATTTTTTCTGTGTCACACCTGCAACTGCAATTTGTGCTGAGCTCAGCAGCCGTATTTATAGCTGAAGTCTGGTTCTGGGGAATCAAGATGCTCTAATGGAATTAACCTTCTCTTGTTTCGATTTGCGGGTGATTGACTGGCCCAACGATTACCCTTATCAAATGGCAAAGGCCGCCAGGCAACGATAGGTGCAGGTGCTAGATTCCAGATGCCATCTTCAAAATGCACGCCTGTCAACAAGTCTGAATCACAGCTTATCACAAAAATGACGTGACTTTGAGCAAGTTCCAAAAGAGATTGTTCTTTCGTTCCTTCAGAGGCGCCATCTACCGTTCGGCAGTGCAAACAATTCGTTGAATTTTACAGCAGTCAACTTTTAACAGTAGTCACGTAAATAAATGGTTTTAATTTCTAATTTGGCAAACAATTCATTAAAATAGGGTTCGGTACTGATTATTTAAATTAATATACACTCCAGGCATATAATAAACGCACTTTAGGGTCACCTGAGTCCGTAGACGCATAATGCCTATCAAAAAAGAAAAGGGAAAGCGAAAGTTCGGCCGAAAGTCAAGAGGAAAATGGGGCAGGAGGTTCCGCCCACCGTGATGGTCTATTAAACTGTCTCAGCAGATCTCCAAGTTTTTGGATTGACCCCGCCACACTTTGAAAACCCCACAAGTTGCAGCATTAGTGTGGGTGGGGACCGGATCGGATCACTCTTATCACCTCTGACAGTGAACGTGACTGCGGCAAGTAAAAACAAACTATCATGCAGGAGGTTGGTGTGCACTCAAAAAAATTAACATAAGCTGTGTAAAAACTTTTAAAAATATATAATTATATTATAATTATATTATTATATATTTTATAATGATTTATTTTCTTATAAAAAGTTTGTTGGTTATACAAACTTTTTATCCTAGTATATATACATACATTTTTTCTACCAGTCTCTAAGTATATACAAACAATCTGGTTAACAACAAAGAGTTGAGGGCTTGACAGCTGGCTAAGAGTGACTAAAACCACTGCCACGGAGCGAAATGAACAACCGTTCTGAACTTTGGCTCGCAACGAAAGTGAAACCCGGTAAGCCCGTTAGTTATGGCCAAGAATAAAGACTTGTTGTGACCGAAACTGACAATTGCATTTGCAGAGTGTCGAGAGCTGAACAAATTCCTAGCCCAGTTTGGTTTTTCATTACGCCTCCATTCTACACTTTCGCTCGGTTTATTGCATTCATTTAATGCCACCGAGAAATTAAGTTAAAGCTAATGAAAATGCCTCCTCCAATGGGAAAGCATTCGGATTTGTTTTGTTTGTGTTTCGTTTTTCCATCATTCGAATTGGGAATACTCTTGAATTATAAAAAATAATTTAGATGTATAAGGAAATCGGTGTAGTATACAAACTCTTTTTTTTTATATATGGACATCCTGTCGTATGCGCAATTTTTGCTCTAAACAAGAAAAACTGTTAAATGTAAAGTTTTAATGGTTTATTACCATATATTACCATATCGTAAAAAAAATGTTGTGATCAGCGTTCAAAATAAAGCATAGGCATTAATGTTTATGTTTAGCGAAATCCGTGTAATAGCTGTCTTTATGGTCTATCATTTACTTTTATTATTTTTGTAATCTATAAAAAAGTGATCAGACTCGAAGCAAGGCTAATCGAAACTAGGCCAACTCCAAGAAGTTCCTGTCTGTCCGCCCATAAAACGCCAAAGCCACCACAGATGTTTATTTGCAAGTCTTTTAGCCAGCATTTCATTGCCACCACCGCAGCCGCTGTAACCACTATAGCCACTGGCACCATCGAACCCGCAACCACCGAAGGTATAAAAGGTTGCCCGTGGAGCGCGCCCAGCGATCGTTTGAAGTCCCCAGAAAATCAAGAAACGCGCGTGCGCAGCCGCAAAAAGAGCCAGTCGACCGTCGACAGTCTCCGCGTAGAGTCAACTCGAATCGTGATCCGTGTTCTCCAGAGTGCACTGCATATCATTCGTATCATTCGCAGCAACTTGTTTTCAAAGTCATTACGTGTCGGCCAGTCGCTAAACAAATTGTGCATTTAAAAAAAAAAACACTTGCAAGACCAAGTGCAAATCAGACAATTTATGCCATTTTTTTGTGGGTTTTCTGGAGCTTCCTGACACAAAGTGCATCGGCTGCATACGAAATCCGGGGAAAAAATTGAAAAGGGAAAACAAAAAGACACGGCCAATATGCAAATCAATAAGGTAAGCGGCGTCTGTGATATCTTTATTCATTGATCCATCATTGGAATATATATATTTAGAGATTTAGGGAATCATTTAGCGCCCACACTTCTCTGGGCACTTTCACTTTCGCCTGCTGTCTGGCAAATCAGATTCAGTTTTAGACTCAGGTTTAAGGTTACGCCACTGCCATCAATTGCCTTTGAACTGGTCTTAGCCATGAATCTAACTCGAATTGCGACTGAGTCAGCGTCCATAAGCCAAACTGGCACTGCAGGCCAATAAAACTCAGGCAAATGGGATGAAGAGTGGGTCGGGGTCCACGTTACAATTTTATGGCCAGAACTCCGCTGGCTACAACTGCTAGAACTAAGAATAACAGAAAATATGGTAACTTGCAATGGCGGAAACTTAACTTGGTAAATATCGAATTGAAGAACAAATTATATAATGTTTTAATAGCGAGTTTTAATTAGCAATTACCCTAAAAATCATTTTATTAAACGGAGGCATTACTTGAACAAACAATAAAACTTCCATGCAAACTGAATAGCATATTAGAAATAGGTTTTTATTTAAATAGTGTTATTTAAATTGATTGAACTTGATTTATGGCTTCGCTTTGTTATCTCAAAGCAATTAACACATATATACATTTTCCCTGCGTATTTGTAATGTGCACTAATCCAACTAAACTGCTGCAATTAAAATATAAATAACAACAACTAAGCGATTAGGAATATGTGCATAGATCGAGGGGCAACTTAACAATTTTAGAAGCTGCAAAAAAGGTACTACAGCAATGACAACTATATTAAAACTGAGACAATAACTGCATTAAGTAAAAACCAATTTATTTCTTGGCTAGTGAGACTTAAGAACATAAAAGCTACTTAAGTTATTTTTAAGAGCAAACAAGTTGTAAGTGCAACGCACTTAGTAAAATTTTTCTTTCTAAGCAGTTTGCTTAAATAATCGTTATTTTGTGAAGTCTTAGAAAACATGGCAGGTCAATCCAGTTCAACGATCAAGCCTCTTTTAAAACCGAATTTCATTGACACCTTTGAGAGACCACCCACCCCGATTCCTCGGAAAGCCACTGAGCCTATGGAAACACCCATGGCCAAGAGCGCGAGTGATCCAATGAACCGCTTTGAACTATCACTTTTAACGCGGCCATTACAATGGCACTCGAGGTGGCCCAATTTCGTGGACTGGAGTGCAGCACTCCGCACTTGATCAACGATTAATGACTGCTGATTCCACTCAATTCGGTCCGATTCGATCCGTTTAATTTCACTGTTTGCCAGATGCCGACGAAATCGAAAACGAAACTAGAAGAGAAAAGGAAAAGCGTCGAAAATTGCTCCCTCGAAAGCAAGATCACGGCAATCGCGAGAGGGTGGAGGAGAGGAGTGGAGGGGAGTGGGAGTGGGGATCTGGGGGCCGAGGAAAGTCAAAGTGAAATGCTTGGAAAGCAAGGCAAATTGCCAGTCAGACAGTCGCTCCGTAAACAACAATAACGATTACAATAACCAACCGATCCGAGGAGGGCGGCCCAGCCCAGCTGAATGGCTCGAATGGGTAATCCGAGAGCGGCAATTAGAGTGCGCCGCCCGCCGGGGATCAAGATCAGAAACGCGGTCACAGTTCCGCGGATCGCTCCAGTGCATTTCCATGCTCCAGTACCAGGCCACGTCAATGGGCGACTCGTCTAACCGGACCTACAGACACTCCATCTCCATTCCGCTGAGGAAAAGGCCTCAGTCAAACTCCCAGTTGAACCCGTGCACTGAGCAAATAATTAGTTCTTAAATCTTTAGAAAATTTTATAAATATTTGAATATGCTGGAAACATAGTTAATGCATTAAGCACCTCTAGATATTATACTTTATTTACCACTTCATCTTCCAGTTTAAAAATGGGTAGAGTAAAGGCATTTTGTATATTAAGATAAATTAATTCTTAATGGAACATTTTCCCTAGTGTAAGATATTGCCCCCGTCCGGTTCGATCGGCTACTCCGTAATCCAATTAAAGGAACAATCTACATTTCAATTCAAAACTAATGAAGTGTAGAGAATTCGCAACAAAGGCTGACATGTGTTGATTGTTTCGGCGACTGCAGTGCTGGTATTTGAAAGTTGTGGGTTTCTTCTGGCGGGGAGTCGATCTGGGTGTAGTTGTTGCTGTGGAGCCCATTACTAACCAGCTTCCCTGTAGAGCAGCTCCCCAACTTCCGTCAAACACAAACACAATTGTGCGTAGTCCAAACAATTCATTGATTGATTGTCGATATGGCGATCAATTAGACAGATTATGGTTTTCCATTGATTCCGATCGCAGTGACAAAACCAGGGACAGCTGTCAATGGAAAACAGAACATTGGCGCTTGTGTAACTCCAGTTTCGATTTCTATTCCCCGCAGCACTCGCTTCTGGTTCTCCTGCTTTTGGGCCTGGTTTTGTGGACGGATTCCTCGCAAGCCGCTCGTCGCCTGAGGAAGAAACCGAAGGTCTACAATGCCCTGATCACCACCGACGATAATCTGACCTCCAGCCGGGCCTATCCGGTCATCCAGCCCACCATCCACGAGCCGGGATACGCCCCCTTTGGCCCGTATAATCCCTACGGCTTCTACAGTCCTCCACTGGTGAGATTCGGCCAACCAATTGTTCCTGGTCTAACGCCCAACGAGAGGGTGAGTTTCTATATCCGTTACAAGTCAATATTCCTTGATGGGAAGGTATTATTCCTTTTCTTTAGCTCCCCTATCCATTGCCTTCGCCTGCTCAGTACCCAAGTGGCTTTGCTCCCTATGAGCCACAACAGCCTGTGGAAACCCCCGTGGAACAGCAGCCCCAGCCGGAATTGCCACCTGGATCCGTGGAGCCGCAGGAGGTGCCCAAGGATCAGATGCCACTGCCACTCAATCAGCAGGGATTGCCGCCAGTGCTGATTCCCCTGCCCTCCCAGTATAGAGGACAACCCACCCACCTGCCCCCTTATCCCTACAGTCAGTTTCCGGTGATCTACGATCAGGCGGGTTATATAAGACAGAACTATCTGCCGCCCTATGATTACTACCCCACTCATGGCTATCCCATTCGAACGGGCACTGCTGCGCCTCCGGCCACGCCCCCTGCCCAGGAGAATCAGCCCCAGAATCCCCCCGAGATACCGAATGAAATAAAAACCATATCCCTGGATAATCTGGAACCAGCGCAGCCCAGTTTCGAGGACATTCGCAACGGATCGGAGAGCAAAAACAGCGCGGTTCCCGATGTCCCACCTCCGCCAATACCCTCCGGACCCAAACGTCCGAGACCCGCGGATCCGGATAACTGATGGCCAACCGGATAAGCCGGGTCACTCAGTTTCCACACACGTATTTATTACCATTTCGCTTAGGCATAATATCGATTCGATTGTACAATGTAGCTAAGAGTAAGAGTTCATTCAGAGATAACGAATAAATAATACAAAATCGCCAATGCGGTGAATGAACTTGGATGGGTCACCATATCCCCAGAGGAATACGGGATGATTTCGCTTTCACAGGGGAATTGGGAATTATTTATCTCAGCTTTGAAGGGCCTATAAAAGCAGTCAGGCTCGTTCTAAAAGTTACAGTTCGCATTGACAGAGAGAATCAGAATGAAGCTTATCCTGGTACTCATCATTTGCTGTTGCCTTTTTGGGTTTGGTAGGATACCCTTTAAAATTGAACAAGACTTTTCCGATTCTCAATTAATAATGTTAACTACTCTACAGCTTTGAGCAATCCGATTGTGGTGACCAAGCCACCATTTATTCGCAGTCGCTACAGTTTGCGCTGGCGGAAGACAACCACTGTGGTTCCGGAGGCAACCGCTGGACCGTTCGTTAATGCAGTCACCACCACAGAACATCCCAAATTGGACACCTCAACCGCCAATGGGGACTACGATTACGGGGAGTCCGAAAATGTTGTGCCCAAGTAACGATAAACCTATAACAATACCAATCTTAAGAATGCATATTAAAACTTATAAATAACCAGTTCGTCAGAACGGTATAAATTTACCTATAGTTTAAGATTGCAGATATTAATAAAAATATAACATATAAAATCATTTTGTGTAAAAAAAACCAGAGCAAGCATTGTTATAAAAATAAATTTAAATTTAAATTGTTTACGACCGTTATTTTTCATTTACACAAGTTGGCACTCCAGAATCAATAACACTATGTAAACTCAATGTTAATTTAACACGTAACATAAATCAGCTGTTTTTTGCCGACAACAATAACAAAAGCTAACAAACGAGTTTTTTAAACAAAAATGTTATTAACAATTAAATGCGCTCAGAATGTGATTAAGCCGAACTTTCAGAAAGTGGCCAATCTGCTTACCAATCGCTGTAAATCTGGTTTATCTCAGGGCAGTGCAACAACAGCAACGAGTGGCAGGTGGGTTGAAGAGAGAGGAGCAGAAATACCCACCGAAAACTGAGCTTTACTTTTTCGCGCAGCGGTTCGCAAATCTTAGTTCTGTATTCGCCAGCAACGAGAGAAGGAGCAAAAACAGCAACAGCAGCAACTGGTGGCAGCACAAATCTCCGGAGATTCTACGGCACCCAAAACTCGGGGGCTTCAATCACATCGAAAAAACGCAAAATGGTGGTAGGTACTAACAAAAAAGTGATTTACAGATCAAGGGCAATAGAAACTGAGCGAAACCGAGAGGTTTTCTTATCGCCTCGAATTTAAACCGAGCCTCCAAGGCCGCGTTAAGTCTTAAAGCAACTGTGTAATACCCTAATACGAAGCAGTACTTCAAATATGGTAAGGGACCTGTCAGGAACCTCATTACTTAGGTTCCCCAAAATGCAGCAAAGAAGCAGTTCCTATAAGTTGAACAGGTTTTACTACCAAACATATTGGATAAAAAAAGGAATATTAACTTCGAGAATTAAAATTAATATGCATGTTGATTTAGGTTATGGGTCAAATTCTAAAAAGCTCGTTTAACATACTTGTTGCATGTTTTCAGGTGCGACTAAACGAACAGGAGCGTGCTGAGAAGCTGCAACCTCTCCTTGATGCCGGTTGGACTTTGGTGGAGGGACGCGATGCCATCTTCAAGCAATACATTCTAAAGGACTTTAACCAGGCCTTCAGCTTCATGACGGGCGTGGCCCTTTTGGCCGAGAAGATCAACCACCATCCCGAGTGGTTCAACTGCTACAACAAGGTCGACGTCACTCTGTCCACTCACGATGTGGGCGGTCTCAGTTCGCAGGACATTCGCATGGCGAATCACTTGGAGACCACGGCCAATTTGTTGAAATAAAAGCATTGTTATACTATTTTCTATTATCTATAATATCTGGAATCCAATAAACACTTAGCCCAACATCGATTTGCTCAGGATTTGATAGTCTGCTTCTTCCAGGACATCTGGGGAGATCTCATCCTTTACGTATCCCAGTTGTTTGAAGAAGGAAATGGACGGTTCGTTGTTGTTCAGGACAGTTAACATAATCTTTTCTAAATGCCAATGACGAGCACAATGTTCCAGAATGCCCATAATAAATTTTCCGAGTCCTTTTCTTCGGTACTCCGCCGCCACTTGCATTTCGTAGCTGCGGACGGGATTCTAATCATTAAGTGACTTTAATATTAATCTTGTAGTATAATTACCAGTATAAAACACAATCCCCATGATCCATGTCAAAGCGAAACATTGTATAGGCCACGTTCTCTTTCTTATCGTTTTGAGCCACCAAATATCGCGCCCAGTTCTTATTCAAATCGGCGTTTTTAATCTTTGGCTGCCATCCCATCTTGAGTTCTTTATAGTAGGGTCCCACGTTGGTCTCTGCCAATTTAAAGGCCCATTTAAGCAACTTGGAATCCGCATCCGATTTTGTTTTGCATATTAGTTTAAATTCTTCTCCGCTGGAAGCCTTGAAGCTTTGGTAATTGAGAGTTTCCAATGGGTTTTTGGCCCTGGCAGCATTCTCCACCAATCTTTGCTTAGCTCCCTGACTTAGTTCGTCCTTATTTGCCATTTCAGTCGGTTTATGTGAATGAAAACATATAAAATATGTTCCCGCTTTTTTTTCCTTTCATAATACCGAGCATTTAAAAAGATGAAGCCTTTTTGGACTCGCCACCAGCTGGCCACACTGAGGTTGCCCGCCAATTTAATTTGGGGGAAAAATTATTCGTTTTAAAGCATTTTCCTTGTATTAAGACTCCTTACGCTGTTAAGTTGCTGTATGATAGAGCTCCCATAATTGCAGCCAGGAGTAATTGAAAACGGATGCCAATTCAAATTTAAACCTTGCCGAAAAGTTTTTGGTCACCCTACATGCAAACATCGGTATGTTTTTAGGTAGGTTTTTTGGGGGTAACCGTTAATGGCCACTTTAATATTTATCGTTTGTCTTATTTGTAAACAATTGCAGAAATTTGTTAAAACTAAATTATAAATATAGTCATAGACTGCCACAAAAGACCATCTTAAATTAAACTCCCCGTAGTGGTGTAGTGCAGTTTAATCTCCACACATTAGGTAACCATATTTTATTAAATTTATAATCAAAATGCTGACGTTACCAATTTTGTGAAATGCAGTTTTTTAGAAACACAAATGTTTAAAAAATCAAAGCCCAAAATTGAGCCTCCGCCAACGGCTCCAAGTATTGAAGAAATGCTTGCGGACATGGAAACTTTTGAAGTAAATCAACCCTCAGTAAACGGACCTACGGATTACACGGACTTGGAGCACGCTCTTCTCACGGAGCCGGAGAATCTTTCACTTTCAACTTGGTGGCAAGTTTTTGACGAATACGATCAGAAGGTCAAAAAATTAATAGCCACAGAGGAGACTCTAGAGACCCATAGAAATCAACTGAAAGAATGCTACGCCAAACTAGAAAAAAATGCAGGAAAACTGAGGGAGGGCATCAAAAAGCAACAGGCGTTGGCTAAAGAAGACCCTGAATGTTAACTTATAAAATTAATTTTAAATTTGTTGTAAAATATTCCATTTGATATAAAAAAAATTGGCCCGTATTATCTGCTTCCGTGTTTTTTGTCAAGCTTAAAAATTTAGCCCCACTGTAACATGGTGTGAGTCCAGAATAAAACTTCAGCTTAGAGATTAACAGTATTTGCTAAGTGTTCAGTATATTTCTCTGAGCCAGACATTTTAACGGTCAATTCGTCGTGCGGTCACACTGCTTGGTGGATGGTGGTCGAAAAAAAGTTGTTAAAAGCGCAGAAAAAACGAATAATAATGCAAGTGCTCCAGTGACTGTGAAAAGTAAGCAGATAAGGGAGTACTTAAATCAAAGTTAAACCACAAACATGCGAGCCCGAAAATTGCACAGAAATTGGAAATCCCAACGATTTAGGCCTGGATGATTGGGCAGAAGAACAGGTTTTAGGCCGTGGCAACAACGAAAAAAAAGAAAAAAAAAAACTTGCGACTGGCTTATACCATTTACGCCATTAACGGAGGTCGATTGTTTTGCGTATGTGTGCTTGCTGTTTTTGTCCGATATATTTGGCTATATTCCACAAATCCAATTAACACAAACTGAAAAAGAGTGCAACAATTCGTGGCTAATTGAATTTTACTTGTATTTTATTTTGGTTTTCGACCAGCGCAACAACAACAGCGAGCAGCGAGTAGAAAGAGAGAGAACAGAAAAGAGAGGGTGTTTTTGGCCCAAACCAAAGCTCGGTTAGAATACACACACAGGCAAACAAAAATTGAGCAAAAACAATAATTATCCAATTAAACAGTTGTCAAGCAATGCATTTAATTTCATTGGCCAATAAGGTCTCGCCTTAAACGTTAAAGACGTAAAGAGAGGCCAAATAGAGCGTCCAACTAACAGTATTTTTCACGGGCACACCAACACCAATTGTTCGTCAGTGTGTGCATGCGTTTGTGTGAAGTGCTAATGAGATGCTGTGACGCTCTTCTTGCCGTTTGTTGCTCTTGCCATTTATGCAAAAAGACGCAAAAAACAAATACATGTGTAAAAATTTTCGAGTTGAACAAAAGATTTTGCGTAAAAGGTGAAAGCCACTTGGTGATCCGCCGTATACGCAATGCAGTTTCTTTGTGCCCCGGACCGTTAATGCAATCATTTCGCGATCATAACCGTTCCCGTTCTCAATTCTCGGTTCTCCATTCTACATTCTTTATTCTTGCAGCGAAGATGTCACCGTTTGGAGCAATTTCCTCGCAGCGAGTCCCACAACAATAACAAACAAGAAGCGCCAATGATGTGATGCAGCAGCCAAGGTTGAGTTCGAAAAACACAACCTTCAAGTAGTCTAGGCCACCCACAAATCACCTGGAAACCCCGGATTAAATCCATGATGAGCTGGCTGCTGGGTCTCCTGGGGCTACAGGTCCTGTTCCTCTGGCTCCTGTTGCTGCCCGGCGAGATACTGGCCATTCCAACGCCGCTCAAGTTGCCAGGTAACTAAGATTTACAAAAAATGTTTTTTATCTTTAATGCATTGACTTCTTAAAAATATTTATTTGTATATTTTGTTGAATGACCATTGAACTTGTCTGTAATCCTCTCAAGCACTTGCTTTCTAGTACTTCCTCTATCTTCAATTTTTTTCTGAACACATCGTTAAGAGAAATTTCATCTTTTTATCGCTGCCGGCAGCTTTCTCCTTCATCTGCTTACCCCTAATACCTAACACCGCTCTCTTCTTTCAGGCTACACCCACAGGCTGACGCCCTACATCAAGCACTGGGAGGCGGCGAACTTCGATCGCGGTGTGCTGCAGGCAGCACAGGTCAGGCACCTGGAGCAGGCTCGCTTTCGGCGGAAGCGACAGGTGAGGACGGAGGACGCCACCACACCGAGTGGTCTGGCGCATACCATCCGCTTGAATTTCTCCGCCCACGACAGGTGAGTGCACTCGAGACACCCATCAATATAATCACTTAATCACCCTATGCCTCCGCACTCGCAGAGATTTTCGCCTGGTGCTGCGTCAACAGCCGCATTCGGTGTTCGCCCACGACGTGGAGATCGAAAATACTCTGGGTCCCATCGATTACGATGTCTCACGCATTTACACCGGAAGCCTGGAGGATGACGAGGCGGCCCATGTCCAGGCGATCCTCACCAGCGACAATCTGCTGGACGGGACGATAGAGACCCAGGCGGAGCACTATTACATCGAGCCGGCGCAACGATACTCCCAGCAGCTGGCCGAGAGCGGTGTCCACAGCATAGTGTATAAGTTAAGTGATGTAAATATGCAAAAGACGCAATTCACCGGAGGAGGATTAAACTCAGCAGCTCCTGCCAAAACGCATTGCGCCAGCGAAAAACTTAGGAAAAAGCGCTGGCTGCCAGAGGAGGTGAGTTTTTATAAATCTGTGTTTATTTAAAAAGCAAAAATTTATGTTGCTAGAACATTACAAATAAATAGTTTATAAGAAGTTAATTTTACCTTCATAATAATAATAATAATATATATTTAATCACTGCAGTTGGCCATGTCGGATGCTCCAGCGCCAACGTACAATCGCAATCCGCCCCTGCCGCTGGATTTGGAGGTGCCCTACAACGACGATTTCCGCGTCCTGGCCTCCGAGGAGGACAAGAGCGAGGAGTCGCCGAGAAAGTACCCGACCACATCCACAACCAGGAGCACTGTGCGCAGTACGGAGAGCTTTTTGGCTACGCTGGCTAAACCCACGTCGAATCGCAACATACTTGTAAATAACTACAATCCCTCCAATGTCGGCGAGGGAAGTCGCAGCTACAGCAACAGCAACAACAATGCCAACAGCAATAATAACAACAACAACAATAATAATAATAATAGTAATAACAATGTGCGGAAGTTGTACACCAAACACAAGAACATTATTGTGAGCACGTACAATCGACCCATCGAACCGGAATTCGGAACGCCCTACGAGGAACCGAATAACAATGGTACCCGCGACCTGCCTAGTAACTTCTTCAACGCCAATTGGACGACGCTCTTTCTAGGAAATAACAACAATGGCAATGACCGACCCAGCCACAAAACGCACGTGGAGATCATCACCAAAAACGGAGCCACAAAGAAGCCAAATATCATTGTTAACAACTACAATCCAGAGATAATATTCGCCCCCAATCCGCACAACCCTAGTTTTAACAGCATGTTGATGACGAATCTGCTGAGCGGAAGGGGCGGAGAGGATATCCATAGTTCTCCAAGACTGCTCTACGATCGCAAGACCACTTGCATGTTGTATCTGCAGGCGGATCACACGTTCTTCCAAAAAATGGGTTCGGATGAGGCGTCCATAGAGGCTATCACTCGACACGTTCAGCGGGCCAATACCATCTACCGGAATACTGACTTTAACAACGACGGCAAGCCGGATAACATCACCTTTATGATCAAGCGCATCAAGGTGCATAACATGAACGCAATGAAGGATCCCAGCTACCGATTCCCAGGCAATTATGGAGTCGAAAAGTTCTTGGAACTGTTTTCAGGTATGTTATAAGACGTAAAAACGTTAGGATTATCGAAACTCGGGTCTTTAGTTCTATTAGTCATTGGATGTTGAAATATACAAAAACTGACTTTCTCTTTTTATTTATGTTTGCCAATTAATTATCATTATCAGCATCAGTCTTGACACGTTTTCATTTTATCCAAAATGTGTTAACACAAATCAATCAGACCATTAAAAACAAGCCAAAGTTTAAATCAGATAAAGTAAAAATATGTAAACAAATCAATTAGATGCTTCTTAGGTCGACCACCCGTAAATACACAAATACATTTTGCATCATCTTTTTGTTCGACCTTATCTTTATTGATTTTTTAAAGCACATATACAATGTATTTATTTATTTATTTAACAGAGGAGGACTATGATGCCTTTTGCTTGGCGTACATGTTCACCTATCGTGATTTCGAAATGGGAACTTTGGGATTGGCTTGGACTGGTGATCTTAAGAATGCTGGCGGAGTGTGCGAAAAGAATGGGCATTACAGGGGTTCTCTGAAGTCCCTAAACACGGGTATAGTCACTCTGTTGAACTACGGAAAGCATGTTCCACCTGCAGTCTCCCACGTGACACTGGCACACGAAATCGGCCATAATTTCGGATCACCGGTAAGAAATATAAAATGATAACTAAATACACAACAATTTAATGACAATACGTTCACCATTTCAGCACGACCCGGAGCAATGTACTCCTGGCGGCGAGGATGGCAACTTTATCATGTTCGCCCGCGCCACTTCGGGTGATAAGAAGAACAACAACAAATTCAGCACCTGTTCGCTAAAATCAATAGAGCCCGTGCTAAATGCCAAGGCACGTTCCATGAAGGGATGTTTTACGGAGCCGCAGTCCTCAATTTGTGGCAACGGTGTAGTGGAGCCGGGCGAGCAGTGCGACTGCGGTTGGGAGGAGGACTGCAAGGACTCATGCTGTTTTCCCATGTCAAGGCAACCGCGTCTGGACGAAACCCCCTGCACCCTAACACCCCACGCCCGCTGCAGTCCTTCGCAAGGACCCTGTTGCACCACCGACTGCAAACTGAAGTTTGGCGATAAATGTCGGGATGATAACGGCTGCAGGGATCCCTCGTTCTGCGATGGACGCGTGCCCCAGTGTCCTCCGTCGGTAAACAAACCCAACAAGACCATCTGCAACAAGGAGTTCGTCTGCTACATGGGCGACTGCACGGGCAGTATTTGTTTGGCCTATGGTCTGGAATCGTGTCAGTGTATTCCGGGACCCCAGGACGACCGAATCAAGTCCTGTGAGCTGTGCTGCAAACTGCCAGGGGAGGATAGTCCCTGCCGAAGTTCCTTCGAGTGGAATGAGGCTCCCTTCGATGTGCCCGACATGTACTCAAAGCCGGGAACACCTTGCAATGACTATAATGGGTTAGTATTTACCTAAGTGAAAGAAGGTTTTTCGTTTCAACATTCTTATATATACTCATAATGAATTTTCCCTTCTTTAGATACTGTGATGTATTTCAAAAGTGCAGAGAGGTGGATCCGTCCGGTCCACTGGCGACTTTGCGAAAGCTTCTGCTTTCCGAGGAGAGCATAGCCAGCTTTAAGAAGTGGATGCAGCACAACTGGTACACCGTTGCTTTAGCTGCCGTTGGCGTTATCCTGCTCCTGGTAAGTTCGACCACTAGAAATTCGAAAGATATTTTTAAATTCAATACTAAATATTCTTTGGTTTGGAAAGTTAATGAAACTGGTCACGCAAATGTTAAGGGATCAGGTCGAGGCCAAAGCGCAAGCTGAGGTCCAGACCTTGGGTGAGCGCTCAGATTTCCAGTGCCCGAAAATAATCCAGTAGAATAATGGATAACACTCATCTAGCAGTTGCCTTAGTGGCTATTTCGAGGGCAATTTTAGACTAGATGTCATTCAAACATTTACCTCTGTCCTTTTCCTTATTTTATAAGACTTTTAAACATCCTTTATTTGAACTTACATCTGAATTCTTATTTATTTCCCACAGGCGCTGAGCACAAAACTCCTGGCGAAACGCTCGAATCTGAAGCTTAAGTCCGTGACCATCATTCATAGTGCCACCACGGAAACAGTGCGTCTGCCGGAAAACAACAACGGCGTGATAGTGCACACAGCCGTAAGAACCAAGGTACCATTCAAAAAGAAGGTTCGTGGCGAGAGAAGCAAAAAGCCAGGAACAGGAGCAGTAGCCGGAGCAGGAGTAACAACCACCGGTGCAGTTGCCTCTCGAAGTGCAGCCAAAAGCAGTGCCAACCAAGAGCAAAAGAAGAGCACCAGAGGGCAAGGGATGGCCAAGAAGAAATCCCTCGAGGAAGAGCCCAAGAAATCCAACAAAAAACTGGGTAAGCACATGAAGGAGATCATTGACTATTCGCATCGCAACAACAACGGGGACGATGCCTCCAATCTGTCCACCACCAACAATCATACGAACACCTTTGGCAAGGTGCAAAAGTGGCTTTTGGAATCGCCCATTGTGGCGCAACCTTTGTCCCACATCGAACACAGTTCCAGGGTTCGCAAGGTGATGAGTAAATCACAATCTACGCCAGAACGTCTGGTGCAAAAGACACCCCAGAAGACCAAGTCCATGGGTAATCTGTCCAATGAGAAGGTCAAACTGCAGGTGGTCTACAAGCCGCCCTTCAAGTTCTCGCTGAGATTGTCCAAGAAACCCAAAGTCAAAACTCACGTTGTGGGAGCAGGTGGAAGGCCAAAGAGAAGCCAGAAGACTAGCAATCGAACTGCAGGACAGTCCACATCGAAGGATGTATCCACACGCGCCAAGAGGAGTGCCCTGTTGCTCTGCAATGAAGCGGAGGATGATAACCAGATACTTACCCTCAACGAACCGAACTACGAGACCTTAAAGCCACCAACACCGCCACGTTCCATGGAGCACTGCTACGAGAATGTGGATATGCAGGCGGAGGCCTGCAGTTCAAAGCCCAGCAGCAGTAGCAAGGTTGCTCCCAGCTCGCAGAACAGGGCCAGCTTGGAGGTAGCTCCTCAGCAGGCACCCGTTCCAGCCCAGAGGAACTCCTATCGCAGGTCCAACTCCCTCTCCACCCACAATCCCTTCGCGGCAGCTCCACGCCGGAGCAGCAGCAAGGCCAGTGGATCGGTGAACCTCACGCGAAACTTTGGCAGTACTCAGAATTTGATTAATCTCAGTCAGAATCTGGCGAAAACCAAGAAACGCAGCAGCCTGAACCTAAAGGCCAGCGGTAGTGGCGCAACCAGAAGTGGGAAGGATCCGCCAACAATGGCAGTTTCCTCGCCACAAAGACGTTCCTCATCGAATGCCAATCTTCGCAAGGATAGCAGCGTGTCCTCCACAAAGGCTGTTCCGGTTCCACCGACCAGGAATTCGAGGAATAGCTTCAGCAACATTCCAAGGGCCAGTTTGGGAGGAGGAAACAGCAACTCCAACTCCACAAGCAATGGGGTGCCGCCCAATTTCTCACGTCAATCTTCCAGCAGCACGGCCACCAGCAGCTCCTCTGTCGCTCCAGGATTGATAAGCGGAGCGGCGTTGCAGCAATCCGCATCCACCAGCGCCATGCAGCGTCAACCACCCTCGCAGCCCATGAGGAGAAGCCTCCACAACTTCAGGACACGCTCCACAGGCACCGGAGCGGCAGCAGCAGCAACTGGAAAACCAGGAGCCACAGCTACAGCAACGACAACCGAGAACAATGAGCTGCCCTCCGATCTTGAGGTAGTCATATCCGATGTGGAGAACCTCGTTAGCTAAGGGCAGCTATCCCGTTCCAGTTTCCAAAACCAACCAAGTGAAAGTGATAAGTCTTAATGTTAGTTATACAAATTGTCGCATAGGTTTACTTGCATAACATATATATATATTTGTACATACATTATATATATGTGTACTTTACACTGCCTTAAACTTGCCGTTTCTGCTGAATATGTGAAATACCACGCCCACTCACACGAACAGACATTCAACCGCATTCCACACGCCCATAAATCCCCCGACCAAGGCTCGCCCCGCCACCTTGAATGCACCACCACCCGCGCAGCCACCCAACCAATCACCCACTGATGCCACCGCAGTCCAAACCGCCAGCCGCACTCACCGCACTTTGTACCTTCTACTGTTTACTGTTTGTATTGTATTGTGTAAACTGAAACTTTAGCTATCTTACTAGTTCCGGTTTCCACATTTGATTCAATTTCGCCAAGTTAATATTTCTTAATTACGATTTGCGTAGACTTAAATAAACTAAAGACGTAAATAAGGCCAATACAACTTAATTTCTCGCAAGCAAGCCTTGGTCTATAAGAGATATTAAAATGGAGAATTTGATCAAAAGTTAATACCGAAAAAAAAGTATGGGCAGCTATTCTATTTCGGTTTCGTAAGAAAAACTAAATGAGCTTTACTTTAAAATATATGGATCTCTCATTGGATTACAAAGTAAAAATTGTATTCCCAGAAACATAAACAAAACCGGAATCGAATAGCTCTCCATATTTTTAATACCTATGTTTGCCGTAACTTGGCCTATACTTCTTGTTATTTTCAAAGCAGTATTACTGAAATTGTTATGTACCTACTATATACTTAAATGCTTAGTTTTCCTGCTCTCAAAATTTCGAACAACGATCACTACTCATCCGAACTACGACGAACACACAGAACAATACAAGGTGCTATTTTAGTAACGAACTAAAACGATAAAAAATATTAGCCGAGAACATTTCAAAAATCCTTTGCATATTTTCTCAAGATCAAAACTAAGATAAGAAAGGAATAGAGGAAGTTTGAAGATGGTGTAGCCCAAGAAGTAGTATATAGAATAAAAGGGGAGCCGGGGAAAGTTGCAAATAGATGTACGGAATAGATACAAAGATAACCAACGATACTGTCAATGAATCAAAAGCATCATGCATCGAAAGTAGTTTTTAGATAATGCCCAGCAAAGCCACATAGAAAGTTAGCCAACCGAACATTACCATTAATCCACCCGATCCTCTTAACCGCCGGCACCTGAAAACACGCATCGATCCCATAGCAACACTTGCAATTCCCAGGCCTGTAGTGTACATAGAATATCGAATGGACATAGTTTTTATATGCAATACCGAGTTAGAGCAATGAGAACAAACAATAATGACACACCTTACGATATTCATAAATACTTAGGATATAGGACCACATTCCGTATCAAATCACAGAGCAGCGGCTTTCGAGTTACACACTAACACCCCAAAAATAACGATCTTTAGGCTAAGGATAACGATTGATATTTGTAGCTATATGAATGTGTAGGAAATCAAAGGCGTATCAAAAATATATACATACATCCATATGGGGCGTGCAATAACCATTGCAACTTTACGAGCATTTGGGTATATTTTTGTGGAATATACAAGATACAAGATAGAAGACATAAGCTCAGCTCAAGAAACCGACAACCGACCCAAAATATCGAATATAGACAGACAGACAGTTAACGCGTTGGCCAGTAATGAAACGGAGAACGAAAATAGTTAAACGAGTACGCGACAATCGCTTTGAAATGCTTAACATAAAACAAAAAACAAATATTGATAGTCCCGAAAAAAGAATTAAAGTTTAGTTTCAACATTGTCTTGACTTCATATTTCAATATGGAACTATACAAAATAATGGCAGGCAAGAGTGTTGAAATTTACCAAAAACAAATTATAGCGCTAGGAAACATCAAAAATACACCGGAATGGAAGTTTGTGTATCTAATAGATTTTAAAGTGTGCAAATTAAATTTTCCAAAAGATTTTTTAAATACTTTTGCTCAAATTGGATAACAAAATTCAAAGGACATTTATTCCCATCCAGTGTATTTCTAAACGTCAAATTTTATGGCCCAGTGTAATTAAAAAGATGAAAAAGATAACATTTTGAGTAATGCCAATGTTTGTGTACTGTATATAATTAAAAGCAAATGAATATTAAGTAAGCGGATGGAAAAGAGTATTTTGAGCGTGACAAAAAGACTATTTAGCGCGAAATGAACAATTTTTGTGTATTGTACATAAGAAACCGATTGATTTTAATCTAAATATACATAAATATTAATGTAATTGTAAAACTGCAAACGATTTTTAAATCTGTATGTGTATTGTGTACCTCAATTGTAATTAATTTTTTATACTTTTCACGAGATGGATTATTGCTATTTTTATAATTTAGCTAAATGAATTATAACACGTTTGTACGTCTCCTGACCCCCACGAAACCATCTCCTATTCCTAGTTAATGGCCAGTCTTAAATGTTGTCCAAGCCCGCATCACCAATCCAACAACCTACATAAATACATATGTAATTTTGTCAATTAAGAGCGCGTAAATGTCTTTAAGAAGTCGGAAGAAAAAACGAAACGAATTGATGTGGGACAAACAAAACAAAAACCGAAGAGCAAAGAAGTGAATACTAGCATTTTACGATAAATATTTTTAAAAACGATTCAAAACAATAATTAACGTATTATCATTAGCGAACAAAAAGCACATGTGTGACAATTCAGTTGTACTTTATGTTACAATTACTACAATACTTTATTTATTAATCTTATTGTTAGGAAATAACACGAGTGTAACTAATTTTTAACCCGAACACACACACATATGCGATATTTTATAATTTCCTCATTTAAGGCAAAATTCTATTAACAATAAAAACGAAACTAATACTTAAGAACATCGACTTAACATTTACTAAACTTAAGAGGACTTCTTTTCTGCATTCTCCAGCTTTAAGGCGCGCTTGGCCATGATCCAAAAGTATAGATTTGGGCAAAGATGGCGAAGATAATAGGCAATCTTGGCCTGAACATCGCTCACAATAATGTCGGGTTCTTTGCGGAGAATGCATTGGAGAATTCGTTCTGCTAGTTTATCGGGCGACATTCCTTTGGCGGTTGTTTCGTCCATTTCTGAAGCGTGAAAAAGGAAAAGGTTTTGTATTTAAGTGCAAAACAGAAAAGAACCCCATATTTTCTTACTGCCATAGCTGCTTCCGGATCCTGTCAAAGCGTTGAGTGACAGTTGAGTGCGTATATAACCAGGACTCACGCAGGACACGTTTATGTTCTTGTTGGCCACCTCCGCTCGAAGGGAATCGGCAAAGGCTTGCATGGCATGTTTCGATGCAGAATAAGCGGCTCTCTGGGGAATGGCGAATTTACCCTGAACCGAGCTAATGAAACAAATGTGACCACTTCCACGTTTTACCATGGAAGGAAGGAGAGCTAGAAAAATAATCAATTTAGTAAACAATCTATTCAAACGTTGCTTAATCTTTAAACCTTTAGTTAGGGCCACGCTGCCAAAATAGTTGACCACCATTACTTTGAGATCCACATCCACGGCTGTTGATGCCACATCTGCGCGGACACTGATTCCGCCGTTGTTAATTAGTATATCCACCTGATTATACACTGCCAAGACCCGGGTTACAAATTCAGGAATTGAATTTAATTCAGCCAGATCGAGGGCGAGCACAGTAGGAGGATAAGCTGGGTCCTAGAAGAAACCGTTTTTAAATTTAATAAGTAATTAAAAACTGTTGGGCTGGACATTACCACATCCAGTGCGAGTAGGTCCTTTTTCACCCGCTCCAGCTCCTGAGTTCGGCGTGCTGCCAAAATAACCTTGCAGCCTGCCCGGTAGAAAACATGGGCAAGGGATTCACCCAATCCTGAACTTGCGCCCGTGATAAGCACCACCTTTAATTCGTTTACATAATTAACCGGCTAATCAGTTATTGAGGGTTATTTATTACCTTGCCGGGCAATTGATTGCGGTATTTTTTAGCCCGGAATCGCTGCCAAATGTTAATTAGAGCCAATGGCAGGGCAACCGGCATCAGGATTGTTCCCAGCACCCAGTAAAGGACATTCCAGTCGCTGCTGGGAGCACATTTGTCCAGGTCCTGCACTTTCATTTTTTCAATGTGGAGCGAATTAAACCTTTGAACTCGTATTTTCAGATGCAAAATGATTGGCAACGAAAACAAAACCTAACCTGCCATTCACTTGAAATGGAGAGCAGTGAAGCTCTGGTAGGTTCACAACCTGAGCTAAGAATTCAAACACAATGTTCATTGATATTAATGCATAGCAATACAAAAACAACCATTTTTTTTATTTTTATAAATACTTATTTTAAATTTAATACATTTAAATGTTTAATGAGCTTTTTATCCAATCACTTCTGTATTGTACAGCTGTACACTTCTAAGTGAATGGCAAATAATAACAGCTGATTCTTGTTACGTTATTTTGTTGACAACACACTTAGTGCAATTATATTTTATGGAAATTAAGCCAATGTCGCAATGAATAATCTCCTGCGACAGGGACATCGACTGGGCTGCTGCCTGCCGGCTGTCCAACAGCAAATCCACACCACCGCTGTGCACAGGACTTTCTGGGAGCGGGAAAAGAAATCCGGCTATAAGACCAAATTGCCGGAACCGTCTAAAAAGCAGCTTATCATAGACGGATTGAAGGAACTGAAGGAGGAGATGAAGCTGTGGCGTCAGGAGGTTAAAGAACAACTCGAAAGTGACCCGATCCTGGTCTTTCGGCCTGGCGAAACAGATGTGGTGTTCGATTTCAAGGCGCCTGATGTGTTGGACAAGTGGACGGTGACCACCGATGCGGATCATGGGGAGGGAAAAAGTACTGCCACTCTAGAGTTAAGTGCAGCCGGAGCGGGACTCTTCCATGGAGAAGTTAACTCAGATCACACCAAGGATGGGATCATTAAGAGAACAGGATATGCTAATATACGCACAAAGCGAGTGCGGGTGGGTTATCTATTTGTGTTTCCTTTTATAATTACTTAATACTTACATACTTACTTACTTACATATCCTTTCATAGAAATCGTTTAAACGAGAGTCCACCTACGATTGGACACAATACAACATGCTGATCATGAAGGTGCGAGGTGATGGACGCAGCTACCTGATTAATCTGCACACCGAGGGGTATTTCGATCTGATGTGGAACGATATTTATCACTATGTTTTATATACCCGTGGAGGTCCCCATTGGCAGATAGCGAAGATTCCCTTCTCCAAGTTCTTTCTGTCTTCGAAAGGACGTGTTCAGGATCGTCAAGGAGCCATACCTCTGAACAAGATCACCCACTTTGGATTCTCAGTGGCAGCCAAGAAGGGAATGGATGGTCCGTTTGGCCTTGAAATTGACTATGTAGGTCTGGAGTACGATCCCAGTCATCGCGAAGAATTCGCCTACGAAATGTACCAGACACCGAAATACATTGTGGCCACGTAACGTTATGTGACGTTACAGCAATGTTATTTAATTGTAAAAAAAGTTTGAAAAACAGTAAAAATGGCTTTAAAAAAATTTAATTATTTCCTGGTTGTTGCTTTTATGTTTCATTTGAATGTTCATGTCTCAACTAGCCTATTTGACTATATGGACTAATAATACATTTATTTTTATGTATTTAATTCCTGGTTTTCTAAAAGACAGTAAATACTGTACACAGCTGATTTCCCTCTCTTTTGGTTTCTCTCTACCAATCTTTCTTTGCACCACCTTTCTCTTTGTAATCAGCTGTTCAAATGTTTACATTCATTGTCGAATATTCACGGTCATTTTTGCATTAAAGCTGCAGTTTTTATTTCTTTTGCAGAGGTATTTGAGCCTCTCCACGACTGCCAATTAGCGCTCGGCTTTCTGTATTTTGTGTTAATTGTGCGGCTTGTGTTTTTCACTCAGTCTGCTCCGAAACTTCGGCCGATAAAAGCAACCAGAAAACTTCCGCTTGAGATTTCTAGTTTTGTCGCGAGAAGTAAAGTGCTTCGTTATCATTATCTGACATTAGATAAAATCATGGTAAGTGGTTCATAAGTAGTGAAAACAACAAACTGAAATGGCCAGCAGGAAAGAAATTTCTTTAAAAAGCTACAAAAAACGTGACCATGTGGCAGTTCAGTCACCGCGACCTTGGGCACACGCTACTTGTTTTAATCCTGGCCATAACCACAACAAACTAAATCAATACTAAGCGGCTGTCTTACGCACTTTACCGGTTTGCTTGTACTATTTAATTTATGCGCCAAAAATAGAAAATAAATGATATTGAATGCGGCAAAACCAGTTGGCGACCATCGAATCGAAAGTATTGGGTGCAAGAAACCAGTTCTTAACACCATTCCTGTTATCTCGACTTCGACTCCACCTTTTTACCTGTTGGCTGAATTTTACCTTCAGTTTTTCCTCCATCAGCGTCACTTGCTGACGTGTGTAAACTACCGCAAAAATGGTGCAATTTAAGGTAGTCGCAATCTTCAAAACTAAGCAAATAGCAAGCCTGCATAATCAATAAATTCACTAAGATTGAAAACCGCTAGATTTTCTTATCTTATCTCTTACAATATGAACTTTTTGATCTGTTATACTATATCCGAACCCTTTAACAGGAGGAGACGTATCTGTACGATCCCAATTTGCTGATAAAGCTGGACTTCCATCGCAGCCCTGCCAAGTTTAAACCCTTTATATCGGCGGCTAACCCCGGCGAGCCCTGGATGAAAGTGCGACCTCTAAAGGATACCGACTACGATCGTGGATTCTTGCAGTTGCTTTCCCAACTCACCCACGTGGGCAATGTGAATCGCACGCAGTTTTTGAGTAAGCTCAGAATCTCTGTTTTAAACCGAATTAAATTTAAACCACATAAATTCCTTTTTAGCTCGATTCTCCCAGATGAAAGCCAGCGGAGATTACTTTGTAACAGTAATTGAGGACACTCGCAAGAATGAAATTATTGGAGCAGCATCCTTGGTGATCGAGCGCAAGTTTATCCATAATTGTGCTGTGGTGAGTAAAAAGATGTCTTTGTACAAGGAACCACTTTAATTTTTCCAATAATTCTTGATCCTTTAGCGTGGTCGTTTGGAGGATGTGGTTGTAAATGATACATATCGTGGCAAGCAATTGGGAAAACTGTAAGAAGTATAATTAAATATAAAGAGTCCCTAAGCCAATGCTATATCCACCAGGATCGTGGTCACCGTTTCCCTGCTGGCCGAGGAGCTGGGCTGCTACAAAATGTCACTGGACTGCAAGGACAAGTTGATCAAGTTCTACGAGTCACTGGGCTACGTTGCCATTCCCGGAAACTCGAACTCCATGACGATTCGTTATGATGAGGGACCAACGCTCAAGCGAAATGCCACTGCTGCCGGCTCCAGTGGAACAGTGGGCGACTCCTGCCAAACTGTGAGCCTCGATTTTGCCTCTTGACAATTAGCCGCCAACGCTGCTCCAAAATCCAAGCTTTGAATGGGAGTACACAACCCCTCAAAGTTACAATTGCGCGAAGCGCAATGCAAAAAAAAAACTGAAAATTGGATTCTACATAAAAAAATTATGCTTTGCATTGCCAAAATTCCATTGCGCTGAGGGCATGATGGATATTTGGACAGCGCTGGCAGGCGGTGGTGTCCTTGTGGGACCGTGATTTCCACCCACCCGCGAGGACATACAATTAGTTATTTAGTTAAAGGCAACAGCAACAAATGCTGCTCTTTGTTTTTAATCCCTACAGAACTCTCAATTTTATAACTTTTTCTCCCCTTTCTGCTACTGAATGTGCGGCTCAACTCTCAACGTAAAGGTAGTAGTAATATTACCTTTTAAGAGCACCTTCATCAAGTAGCCTAATGTTTGATTGACCCTCATAATTACACTGTTCATAATTACATACGAATCTGACAAAAGCACTAAAGAATGTTCGAATAAACTGATTAAAAAAAAGAGATATTTACATTTATATGTATTCTTTAAATTATGGAAACCTCTAGATTAACATAGTAAAACACATTTATAAACAGGCAACATTTTATTTGGCATCATTGGTTGCTAATATTAAAGTTAAAAACAAATGTAGGAAGGATTATTAGTGTAATTCAAAAATAGAGATGATCACATTATTAGTTTGTAAAATTGTTTTAACGCTTAACTATTTCTAACTGATTTTTATGTTAATTTTTAATTAAGTGTGTACCTCTAAATATGGATTCTCCGTAGGAAGAGTTCTTTATGATTTCAAGAAGCATGAAGGCAAAGATTTCTTAAGTGTATTGTGCAAGGTACTTATTGGGCCAAATTATTATCTATCTACAATCGATTCAAATCGGGGGCAGGAGCTGGGTAAATCCAGCTTCCTCCGCGTCTCATGAGTACGCGCACAGGTGTCCACATTTTGGGCACTTTGAGTGCTTAGCAAAGTAGTTCTGCAGATGTTTGATGTGGCCTCCATGGGAGCAACCCTGGCACCAGGCGTACACTCCCCGGACAATTAAGCCGCAGACGCAGCACTTGGCCGATTGCATGGACTTGCACTTGTCGCAGTACCATCCCACTTTGCCACCCATGGGACGACCACATTCTCCGCAGTTCGTGTGCATGGCCGTGGAGTGCTGATTGAGCTGCTGCACGGAACGCAACCAAGAGCGGTTAATCACCTCGCAGGCTTCATTCCAAAGCTCGTACCGATGCAGCTGGTCAACATACGTGTAGAACCAGTGCTCCTAGATACAAAAGAAATATGACAACCTTATTTAATTAACATTAAATTATATTTACTAACCACAAGTGTGTCATCAATGAGCAGCAGCTTACGAGCCTCTCCTAATGCTATGAGAACTGTCAGAGCCGTTTGAACATCACCCACATCGTTCATGAGCATAATGGCATCGGATACGAATTTATGTGGCTCCCACATGGGAATGGGCGGAACATGGCTGACTTTCAGCACAGTGGGAACATGAGGTGGCTAAAAGAAAATTCATTAGATCATTTTTAACTTAATCACATTATCTTATAAGTGCAACTCACAGGCGACTTCTCGTGATCGGAAGCCTTGAGATCCAGTTGCGGGCGTGCTGCTTGCACATCGTGATGAAGGGCAGGAAACGCCAGAGCTTTTGCGCATTCCGTTGGGCCCACGTAAATAAACCCGTTGCGCAACAACTCAAAGTTGTCAAAGGTAATCTCACTGATGATCTGCGTCTCGGAGAGAATCACCGAACTTGTTGGTGGGTGCTCCACACCACTGCCACCAAGCGGATCATCGTCCACATTCGCCACATCAGTTTCGTGGGTTGTTTCTGGCGTGTTTCCATTGAGATCCTGTCCCAGCTCACTCCGTTGCTGCGGCCAATCGCTAGCCACTTGTGCGGCACGACGGGAGTTCATCGGATTTTTTTGATTCGAGAATGAGGAACGGTGCTCAAAAGGAGGTTCAAAGTGATTGGTGCCGTAGAACAATTTAATAAAGTTCCACAATGTTGTGGCCTGTAAGAACAATTTAATTGATATTTGGGCGTAAGTATTATATTGGATTACCTACATTATGTTTGCCGTATTTTTTGGACACCTCAGCATTGTGCTCGCAAAGATCCGCCAGCTGTTTGCCACCAATAATAAGCTCCTTGGCACAGCCAATAAAGCTCTCATGTTCTTGTGTGGGTTTCGAAGCTGATTCACTCAGGGGATAGCCAGAAAACTAGATGAAAACAATTAGTTTGAATACAGTACAAATACCCTTAATATTGCATAGTTTACCGTATCGTTAACTATGAATTTGTACATCTTGGAATGGTCCAGATGGAACTGAATACTTCCAGCCACATTCGTTTTCCGGCGACTTCTAAAAAATAATCCTTAGAGCCTTGTAAATAAATATGGTTAAATTGGCATACATAAAGCTGGAGGATTTCGTATTGGATACACCGCTGGTCTTTGGAGCATACTCCTTAATTTTGTTGGCAAAGGATATGTCTCCGAATCTGCCCAAGCTGGCGCCCTGTGCATTCGCCTTCATCGCTGGCCGGGTGGCATCCTTGAAAGCATGTTTGTAGATTGTGGAATCCTTGCTGATGGAGAGCAGGCAGTGAGAGTCACTGCCCTGCCACGCAATGCCAGTGGTCACATTGGTGTGCTCGTTAAAGGAGGCGAAGGGGATGTAGGGTCTTCGAATGTCCCAAACATGAACGCTGTAGTCCACCACCAAAGCGCAGCTGGCGATGTGATAGCTGGAGGAATAAAAAAAAGAATTAGTTTTAACGCTAAAAAATCCTTTCAAAACATACGTTCTCTCTGGACGCCACTTAACCCGTCCCACTACGGCAATCGTGTGGATTGTGTGCTCCAATCCCGGCCTGCCATCCATGTTCCACACCTTGATTTGTTTGTCCCGACTGCCGGTAGCCAGCCAATTCCGCGTGGGATGCCAGTCACAGGTGTAGACGGGTCCATAGTGGGCTGTAAACTGAACCATGCACTTATCCCACTTTCTCATGTCCCACAGCTGAACGGTTCCATTTTCAGAGACGGCGGAAAAGATGTTCTGCGTGTGCGGACTGAATTTGACATCCCTCACGGATTCTGAGTTGCAAAAATAGGTGTTCACGGACTTATCCGATCGGATGTCGAAGCACTTGATGGTGCCATCCTGGGAACCAGAGATCAGGATATTTGGTTCGCTGCTGTGAAAGGTAACAGTGTGGGCAGTGCGTTCATGTTCATTGTACACAAGCAGCTGCTTTTGTCGGCCAAATTTGGAGAGATCCCACACGGAAACAACACCATTTGTGGCAGCCGTGGCAAGAAGATTACTATCCAATGATGACCATGCTACATCGTTGGCGGAGTAGCTAAGATTCTGGTTTTTTCCGCGCATATTACACGATTCTGTAAACCCATTGTTGTTGATTGAGTACACCTTCAGCACTGTTGGGGAAGAACATTAGATTTATTTATAGAAAAACCTTGAATGATTCTAAACTTACAGCTCCTTCCAGCCAAAGCGATCTGGTTGTTGTCCTTGTTCAAAGCCAAGGCATTCGCATGTCCTTCCAGACATATCCGCAGAGAAATCGTCGAGGTGTCCTCCAAGGAATCGGGCATCTTGCAGCAGAAGCAATTTGGCCCTCGGAAAACAAAACAGTGATTTGATAAGACAAGACGCTATCTTTTATTTTTCTTTCGGTTTAGTATGGCCGTCTCTCAAGCGGCAAATCATTACGGTGTTCTGGGGTACGCATACAATCTGAAAAGATTTCAGGCTGATTTGGTAACTGCTATTTGTTACTTTGTGCTGCAACATAACATTTTCCGGTAAAATTGCGCTTTAGCGGCTTTTGCTAAAAATGGTCTAGGAATTTTTTTTTTTTTTTTTTAATAGATACCTTGGGGCCTAAACATTAATAAAAAAGTGGCGGAAAGCTTGATTTCTAAGTATTTATTTGTAAAAATAGCAAAAAAGCAACTGGCCATAGCTTTTCTGGGTATTCACTCAGTGCTATAAAATCACTCTGAGTCATTTCGCAACCTTTACAGCGTTCAGTAGTAAAATTGGCAGTGCCAGACATGGTAAAATTGTTTAATTTCTTTTGTTTTTAAATTTGCACACAATTGCAGCACTCTTCATCCACAACACATTCTCAACGGTAAAGTTTTTCGCTAGAAAAACATGGCAATGTTCTAAAACGGGTTGCCTCGCGGCAGTAATAATTGCAATTTTAACACATAAATAATTAAAATTTAAGCTTTCCGCCACTTTTTTATTAATGTTTAGGCCCCAAGGTATCCATTAAAAAAAAAAAAAAAATTCCTAGACCATTTTTAGCAAAAGCCGCTAAAGCGCAATTTTACCCATTTTCCATTCTTCTTTTCGACTGGGTTTAAATAAATCTTCAATAAATATTGTTTTTTTTTTTTTAAATTTCATGGCCTTTAAAACTTGTGCATATTCTTGGAACACCCCAATAGAACCGCTAAATGCGTGGCATCGTTACCAGACTACTCGCACCGGTAGAGTGGCAACGCCACCCCTGCGCCCTTGCTGTTTACAAAAATCACTGTCGACTTTTTCGGCAATTTCAATTATCAGCGCAACAAGTTGCCGTGGAAAAGCAGATAAGTGGATCCAGGTGATCCGTCCCTGAAATGCCAGACATCAAGATTACGCCACTGGGCGCTGGCCAGGATGTAGGCCGAAGCTGTCTGCTACTTTCGATGGGCGGCAAGAACATAATGCTCGATTGCGGGATGCATATGGGCTATAACGATGAGCGCCGATTCCCGGACTTCTCTTACATAGTTCCCGAGGGTCCGATCACCAGCCACATTGACTGTGTAATCATCTCGCATTTCCACCTGGGTAAGTGTTACGAATCCGACGGCTCATTATCTGCATAATTGAGGCCAATCGTTTCATTATCGAACTACGTACATTCCAGATCACTGCGGTGCTTTGCCCTATATGTCCGAGATTGTGGGCTACACTGGTCCCATCTACATGACGCACCCAACCAAGGCCATAGCTCCCATACTTCTGGAGGACATGCGCAAGGTTGCCGTGGAGCGAAAGGGCGAGTCCAACTTTTTCACCACCCAGATGATTAAGGACTGCATGAAGAAGGTTATCCCCGTCACACTCCATCAGAGCATGATGGTGGACACTGATCTGGAAATCAAAGCCTACTACGCAGGTCATGTCCTTGGTGCAGCCATGTTCTGGATAAAGGTGGGATCCCAGAGCGTAGTTTATACGGGGGATTACAATATGACCCCGGACAGACATCTTGGCGCTGCCTGGATAGACAAATGCCGTCCAGACTTGTTGATATCCGAGAGCACTTACGCCACCACTATCCGGGACTCAAAGCGCTGTCGTGAAAGAGACTTTCTAAAGAAAGTCCACGAGTGCGTGGCCAAGGGTGGTAAGGTTTTAATCCCCGTTTTCGCCCTTGGTCGAGCCCAGGAACTGTGCATCCTGCTGGAGACCTACTGGGAGCGGATGAACCTCAAATATCCAATCTACTTTGCTTTGGGCCTCACCGAGAAGGCAAACACCTACTACAAAATGTTTATTACGTGGACAAACCAAAAGATACGAAAGACTTTTGTCCACCGCAACATGTTTGACTTTAAGCACATCAAGCCATTTGATAAGGCTTACATTGATAACCCTGGAGCCATGGTGGTGTTTGCCACGCCGGGAATGCTGCACGCCGGTCTGTCCCTGCAGATCTTTAAGAAGTGGGCCCCCAACGAGAACAACATGGTGATTATGCCCGGCTACTGTGTACAGGGCACCGTGGGCAATAAGATCTTGGGAGGCGCCAAGAAGGTGGAGTTTGAAAACCGCCAGGTGGTGGAGGTCAAAATGGCTGTGGAGTACATGAGTTTTTCGGCCCATGCCGATGCAAAAGGTTGCTATAAGCCACTATAGTTTATGAATGTTAATAATAACTTCTTTCTTTTCCAGGCATAATGCAGCTTATACAAAATTGCGAGCCAAAGAACGTAATGCTCGTCCATGGCGAAGCAGAAAAGATGAAGTTCCTGCGCTCCAAGATTAAGGATGAGTTCAACCTGGAAACGTATATGCCGGCCAATGGCGAAACCTGTGTGATTTCCACGCCTATTAAAATTCCCGTAGACGCATCCGTTTCGCTGTTAAAAGCTGAAGCTCGATCCTACAATGCCCAACCGCCAGATCCCAAACGACGGCGTCTCATTCACGGCGTTCTTGTGATGAAGGACAATCGAATAATGCTGCAAAACTTGACCGATGCCCTAAAGGAGATCGGCATCAACCGGCATGTGATGAGATTTACTTCCAAGGTCAAGATGGACGACCCGGGACCGATGATCCGCACCAGCGAAAGGCTCAAGACACTGCTTGAAGAAAAACTGGCTGGTTGGACAGTGACAATGCAAGAAAACGGCTCCATAGCGATTGAGTCCGTTGAGGTGAAGGTGGAAGAGGACGAGAAAGATCCAAAGCAGAAGACCGTTTTAATATCCTGGACGAACCAGGATGAGGACATTGGAGCCTACATTCTTAATGTGCTCCAGAATATGTGCTAGGCAGCGAACAAAGCATCCCAATGAAATCCACGAACTTTTTTCCATAGATAAGCACAAAGTGTAAACATCATTTTCTGATATTTGAACGTGGGCTAAAATATACGTAAAAATTTAAAAATGGGTTTTATTTAGTTTGATCCTATTATATTAGTTTAAACTCTTGACCTTTACTATTGTATTTGAAAAGGTAACATCAATATGTAAAAGCCAGAACAAACCTTTGTATTTCCTTTCGAAATTCTTTGCCTCCCACTTTACGAAGTTAAAGAGTCCCAGGTTAGAGTTATTTTCGTTCGTTCCACGCTATTTATTCTGGGGTATTTCTGAAAGTGTAACATTACTAGAGTTCCAGGCGTTGCTCCGGGTGCCTGGCACCATATGCAATTAGCTTGTTGAATCGTTGGAGCCTTTCGAACACAGAATCATCGCTTATGTGAGGGCGGCAGCACCGGAGATGATTTCAATCAGCTCGCGAGTGATGACAGCCTGTCGGGTGCGGTTGAAGGTGAGGGTCAGCTTGTCAATCATCTCACCAGCATTCTTGGAAGCGTTGTCCATGGCAGTCATACGGGAGGACTGCTCTGAGCAGGCGCCCTCCTTCATGGTGTAGAAGATGAGCGAGGCCAGCGAGAACTCCAGGTAGCTCTTGACCACGTCGCTGTCGAGCGAATCGTAGACGGCCAGCTTCTCGGACTTCTCCACAGTGGATCCGCTGAAGATGGGAAGGGTGGAGCACTGGTAGGACACCACCGACTTGAACCTGTTGTAGACAATCTTGCCCTCGGTGTAATCGTAACCGGTGTTCAGCACCTCGTTGGCGATTTTCGAGGCGTCCAGGAAAGTGGGTGGCAGACGGCCCACCTCGTTGGCAACCATCAGGATGTTCTTGCCGTACAGGCGAGACAGGATCGCACGCGACTTGTCGCCCACGCAAAACACCTTAGTGTTGGTCTCATCCTGGGCCAGTTCACCGCGGATCAGACGAGCCACACCAGTGTGGACGGCTCCGCAGAGACCACGATCCGAAGTCACCGCGATGAGCAGCTTCTTGGGCTCGGCCTTCTCGTCAGCCTGGATCTCCGTCTTCTCGAAGAACTGTTGGGCACCGATGCCGTAGGGACGCGCCGCCTTCAAGTCTCGCTCGGCACGAGCGTACTTTGCAGCGGACACCATCTTCATCGATTGCGTAATTTTTTGAATGTTCTTCACCGACTTTAGACGAATGGAAATCATCTTCAAGGTGGCCATGCCACGCTGCTGCTGGGCCATCATGGTGGCCTCCATGGCCAGGGGCAGCAGAAGCTGGGTGCGTTGCATCATCATCCTGAGAGCTGTCGAAGATTCCCTGCCACAAAAATTCACTCAATTTCAACTCGGCAAAATGGTCGGAGAAAATTCACCTGCGTTAAGTTGGCTGCGCCACAACGAGTGTTATAACACCGAGCGACGTTGCCACCAGGTTGCGGTTGATATGGTTGGGTTTCGTGGTGAATGGCGGCCTGCGGCGTAGAAAAGGGTATTTTTAATCACATATCAGGCAGACCACTTATTAAACATAAACATTTCCCTAAGATAAACTTATTTTAGGAATGCGCAAATTTAAATATTATCTTATAGAATTTATTTAGGTTTTTTATTACTGTATTTTCTTTAGACCCTTTAGAACCATTTCTCCTACACCTATGTATGCTGATTATAGATTTTCAAATCTAATTATGCAGCCAAATCCCATAAAAGTATTAAAATCACGATAACGGTAAAACAAACTCAAAATGCATAAGGCTTTCAGTTATTTAAATATAAACATAAAACGTAAACAATGATAAATAAGTGGCTCGCCAAAGGAGCAAGATTGTTTTCCACCCAGAATCAGAGTTGCCCATTTGTGTTTGGTGCTATCGGTTGCAGTCAGCTGCTCACGCACGTCCTCCGTTGGTCCGTCACTAACGCCTCACGCAAAAAAAGCTGACGTACTCGGGAAAAAGATTAAGATAATTCGACGGAGACGAGTGCCCGATCCGATAAATAGACATCCCCGCCCCCGCAAAAGAACCGCATACAAAATATCGCCCTGTCCAGGACTCCAGGATCCCAGGGATGAAAGCTCTGGGGACAAAAAACAGCGGATAAGTCAGCCAGCGTGCGTGTGTGTGTGCGTGTTTGTGTGTGCAAAGCTGGAAAATTGTTGCTGCGCAGCGTAGGAATAATATAAAACATTCAGCAGCAGATTTGGCATGTCGAAGATAAAGATCAAGCTAAGGCTTAAGACAGAGGCATAAAGCACAAGGCTAAATCAAAAATCGGTCACTCAATCAACCGAACTCAGTGCCTTTGCAGCAGCAACAAGGTGCGTGATTGTGTGCGTGTGTGTTGCTTGCGCAGTGTGTTGTTGTTGCAGTTGCAATCGCCAGCAGTTGTTGTTGTTGTTGCGTCGTGACACAACAGTAACAAAATATTGAGCCGCCGAGCAAAACACATGATGTGGTCGTTCTTCTCGCGCGACTCCTCAAAAGACTTTCCCTACGACATTGGCGAACCGGTCGGCGGTTTTGATCAGTACTCCATATGGACACTTCACAAGGCCAAACGCAAGAGCAACCAGGAGGAGGTGTCCGTGTTTGTCTACGACATCCGTAGTGGATCTGACACCAAATGCGAGCTGGCAAAGGCATCGCTGAAAAGGTTGAAGACATTGCGTCACCCCAGCATCCTGCAGTACCTAGACTCCCTGGAAACGGACAAGATGCTGTACGTGGCTACCGAGGCGGTGGATCCGCTTGGCAGCTACTTCGGCAAGCTGGGTAGCGACAATGTCCAGAAGGGCCTTTACCTGGCTTGGGGCATCTTTCAGATCACCGTGAGTTATTAGAATTATTCTCTCTCTTACAATCCTCTTCAACTGTATCTTTTCTCCCATCAGCGCGCCTTATCTTTTCTGAACAACGATGGCAATCTGCGGCACAACAATGTCTCCGCCTGGTCGGTTTTCGTCAACGCCTCGGGCGAATGGAAGCTGGGTAGCCTGGAGTACGTCTCAGCGGCTGATGGAAATCCCATGCCGCCCGCAAAGATACCAGTGACCCTGGAGGTCTACGATTCCCCGGAAAAAAACGACCAGAGCAAGCTCAAGGCGGCCACAAAATGGTACATACATCACTGCCTTTTTAATCGATTTAATCTTAACGTTTCATCTAATTTTTAAACAGTTCTGTGGACATGTGGGGCTTGGGCTGTCTAGTATGGGAAGCCTTTAACGGCGTTCTTAAGCAGCGCTCTAATCTCAAGGATATAGAACATATACCCAAGTCCCTACAATCGCTCTACTGCGAATTAGTGGGAGCCTCGCCTTCAAATCGCCCCAATCCGGCGGATATAATCACACGTTGCCGCAAGCCGGGAGGCTTTTTCAAGAACGATTTGGTGGACACACTGCTCTTCCTGGAGGAAATCCAAATCAAGGACAAGGCTGAGAAGAATCGCTTCTTCAGCGGGCTGACTACGCATCTGGACAACTTTCCGGACAATGTGTGCAGGCACAAGATTCTTCCACAGCTGATAACAGCCTACGAATACGGAGATGCGGGTTCGGCAGTTTTGGCACCCATGTTTAAGGTTGTAGACTGACTTGATACATCTTTTTGGGACTGTAATTCATAGAGATTTGTAATTTCTTGCAGCTGGGCAAACTGCTTGACGAAGTGGAGTACCAGAAGCGCATTGTGCCATGTGTGGTCAAGCTGTTCGCTTCCACGGATCGTGTGACTCGATCGCGTCTGCTGCAGCAGCTGGATCTGTTTATCGCACACTTGCAGCCGCAAGTGGTCAACGATCAGATTTTCCCGCAGGTGGCCCATGGCTTTCTGGACACAAATGCCACCATAAGGGAGCAGACGGTCAAGTCAATCATCCATTTGGCGCCAAAGCTGAACTACAATAATCTGAATGTAGAGGTGCTGCGTCATTTTGCCAGGCTGCAGGCACGGGATGACCAAGGCGGAATTCGCACTAACACGACAGTCTGTCTGGGCAAGATTGCGCCGCACTTGCATCCGCAGGTGCGTCAGCGTGTGCTGGTTTCCGCCTTCATTCGCGCCATGCGCGATCCTTTCCCGCCAGCCCGAGTCGCCGGCGTTCTGGCACTGGCTGCCACCCAGCAGTACTTCTTGCTGAGCGAGGTGGCCAACCGGGTGCTGCCGTCTCTTTGTTCCCTCAGCGTCGATCCAGAAAAGACAGTTCGCGATCCGGCGTTCAAAACCATTCGCGGTTTCTTGGGCAAACTGGAGAAGGTCTCCGAGGATCCCAGCTTGCGGGAAACAATGGGTATGTGCTCAATTAGAATTTATTATTTTACAAACTTTAAAACAATTAAAAAGACTGCGAAAAAAATTATATTTTAGAAATGATTCGGCAAACATTATCTGTTAGATTATAATTATACATCAAGTATTGAATTTGAAAATTTAACTTGTTAAAATATTCTCTTGCAGAGGCGGATGTCCACACAGCAACGCCCTCAATTGGCAATGCGGCGGCGACCTGGGCGGGATGGGCGGTGACGGCCGTCACAGCCAAGTTCTATCGCAGCCAAAGTGATTCGTCTCGACCAAGACCGCCTTTAACTGGACGCAATCTGTCCAAGCCAGCGTCGCTTGGTAAGTGTTTGCCTCGCTTATGCAATTTGCACAATGTAATTAACCTGGCATTCACCGTGCAGAGCAACCCTCGAGCAGCAGTTTATCGACCACAACAAGCAGTGTTACCTCAATGACGTCGCTGGAGCATGAAAGCAATGACACCTCCGCCTCGGCCTCCGATTACGGCAACAACGATTGGGACAACGAAAACTGGGGCGAAATGGATGTGAGTATTATTTGTGTGCCACTTGAACTTTAATGATTATTCTCATTTCATTTTAGACGTCTCAGGATCCCAGCAGTCCGTTGGCAGCTAGCTCTAATAATGGCGCCTTAATGGCAGCCAATGCCTTGAGCGAGGTGCGCGATGGCTGGGACAACGAGGAATGGGGCAGTCTCGAAGAGGATCCGGTGAGATCTGAGTTTAAGAGCCATTCAATTGAGATACTTATTTCATTGATTTTTTCCAGTGCGAGGAGGAAGAGCAAGCTGAGCAGGAGCAGCAGCAACAGCAACTGGCCAGACAATCTATTTCATCCACCACGTCATCCAGTCAGCAGCATCAACGGCCGCTGCTGCCAAATCAGCAGCAACATCCCCATCAGCAGCAGTTGCAGCAGCACGAACTGAATGATCTGATCGAGCCGCTGGCCAAGCTCAACTCACATGTCACCTCGCCGTCGAAGCAATCGATGCTGCGGCCAAAGGAGCTGCCCAATCTATCCAGCAGCAACACATCGCCCACGTCAGCCACTGCCAATTGCAATAACATTAGCCCGCCTTCGTCGCATTTGAATAATTCGACGCATAATGCCAATTGGAATAGCGATTCGTGGGCCGATGGCGAATTTGAGCCACTGGATGAATCAGGATTTGGTGAGTGTTCTTTGTGATAATACAAGTGTATAACAAATAATTTAAAGATGCGTATATATACTTAATATCTGTATACTATCTGTGTTTTCAGGGAATGCCAAACTGGATGAGGCGCGTCGCAAGCGTGAGGAGAAGAAGCTGCAGCGGCAACGGGAATTGGAGGCGCGAAGGGCTCAGCGGGCGAGCGGTCCAATGAAGCTAGGCGCCAAAAAGCTTTAAAAGTAATCAGCGGATAACAGCAAATGGTGTTATTTGGCTGTTATTTGCATCGTATATCTAAGCCCAAAGTGTATTTTGTATATTTCTGTGCGTGTGTGTCCCTGTCCCGTTCCCAATTTTCCCGCTCTGGATGTGCTTTATGTTTGTTTGGTTACCAGTTTGCATAAAATGCAATCTCCATTTTGATTCCGTAACATAGCCGTGTTAAACTTATAATGCCGGCACGATATTAGCTTATATATTCAGCGTCTCTAACGAAATTTCAAATGTAAAGCACTGTAATTAAAACCTGTAATTTATATTTATAAAACCAAAAACGAATGACAAACCAACCAACCAGTAGTTAGTAAATTACTTCAAATTTATACTTTTATTAATCGAATCTAGTAGGAGTATCGAAGATAGGATACCCTTGGCGAATTGCTTACTAAGAGGGTCCTTGAACGCGAATGTGCGACCACAAGGTTGGTGCAAAGTGTGAGAATCGGGGGATAATCTATATCAGTGAGTGGATCTGAAGTATTTTCCCATCCTACTATCAACGTGTGAATGGATGTGCGAGTGTGTGATTTCAATATTCATTTTAGTCGCCCCTTTCCAAAGCTAAAAACTTTCCATAATCGATTTTGTAGGACCGCTGAAGAGTAAAAAATATTACAAAATCTAAACGTATTTTTGCGAATGGAGCGTAACCAAAATTGTGAATTTTAATACATAAATAATAACAAATATTTTTATATAGTTCATAATAAACGAAAACGAATATAGAACCAACAAATAGAAACAACAAATAACAAGAACCGCAAGCAATTATAGAAGGAAACAATTTTAAAGCTTTTCAGAGATACATTTAATTGTAGTAGAATCGCACTTGTTATTTAGATTTCCTAGGTTGCCATAAATAGGAAAGATCAGGAATGTGTTTTCCTCTCGGTTTATTGTGTCATTTTCCGTTAAACAATTTTCACTTTTTACACAAGTAAGAACAGCACCAAGCGCAAGGCCATTTTTTGCATGTCAAACTAGTAGCGTTACCCAAGCGTAAACATACAATTTTTGAATGTCCTGTACATACATATAGATGCAGATATACATATACCTAACATATATGCCGATTTTTTCCGATACCTCAATATCAGTGTACAATTTTTCCATAATATATTTTTGAAATACAAACGAAACTAATAACCCAAAGCGGAGAATATACAAAAAAGAAAAATGTTGACTTTTTGAAATCTCATTGTTGTCGCCGCGTCTGTTTGCATTTGGAGCAAACACCACATATGTATATTTGTAATTAATGCAACTCGATTCCAATCCACGTCAGCCCGATGCCCCACTTCCTCCTCCACGTCCACATTTATTGGCATTCATTTTCTTATAACAAATTCTCTCAGCAAATTTAACATTAGCGTAATGAACTATTTAAAAACAAACATTGAAAATAAACAAATTGAAGCAACATGGAAAATTTATTGTTTAGACAAATTTTTAAGACTGCAAAAACAAAACCAAAATTAATTGAAAGTGGTAATGGTAAATTAAAAGAAAACTGAATTATTTAGTACTTATCATCAGTAAATAAATTTTGAAATAATAACAAATTCTGTTATCTGTTTGGAACTTTTTGTGGGTAAGTAATAAAAGTTTACCCATTGAATGTGTTTCAATGTATATCCGGAAAGCTTTTTTCCACATCTGGCCGACTAGATATATATATTTGGTTAATAGCATCTGTTTTGCCAAATGTTTCTGATGGCCATTCGATAATTGCAACAATCCAATCCGAAGCCTTTGTTTATTTTGCAGTTTGTGCAGCTGTTTTTGCAGGTTTGGTGGGGACAGTTAAGATGCGTCGATACAGATAGCAGAAAACCCAACAAAGATTTTTATTAAATTTTGTTTAATGCCTTGGTATTAGGTTCACTGTTTTTTTGTGTGATTAAAAATATTTATACTGGGGAATTCCCTTAAAATGGAGAGAGATATTTTCTTACTCGCAACAAAAAAAAGGTTTCTTGATATTAAAAGCAAGAAAACATTTTTAAAAGTTATTTCTTTTCGATAATTTTTTGTTCAAGACTCCACCAAATACAATTCGCGTCATATACATAACTTAAAAATAAATAGGATTAACATTTTGAAATGAAGTTTTGCTAACAATTGTATGTCAAAAATATAGTTTTTTTTTTAAATTAAATACTTTTACAGGTTGACGAAAATCTTGCAGTTTTCAATAGTCTTATAAAATATCATAGCATACTTATTTGAGCAATTTAGGCAAACATTGAACTGATCTATTTTGCAATCCGCCCACTGCGCTAATTAAAATGAGTCAATCTGCCCAGATTAGTGCTCCTTGAAGTCCAATGTCACGTCACGTTTGCGAACTATTTTTAAGACCTGCAACTGCACAACTTTGTTTTTCTCACGCGCCCGTTTCGCAGCTAATTTGTTGCAAGTTGCACTTGGCTTCCATCACAGGGGCGCAGCTAAAAGGGGGTTATTGGTTTTTTAGAAAGAAACTCCAGGCGTTTCTGATTGTACTTATGCGGAGTGAAAATATTTGTTATTATGGTGCTCCTGACATGGACCCATACTAAGCCAAAACTTAACTTATTTATTTTAATTAAATTAATATATTTTTTTGTATTTTTAATTTTTCTAACTTCTAACTTTAAGATAAAATGGATTTAGTACAGTAAGTTTTGCGCAAATTATTCAGAATTTCCCAAAACAAATTTTTAAATACTTGTGCGTATGATAAACATTGATAACAAATTTATTCTTAAAAGTGAAATATTAATATATATTTGAAATATATTAATCATAGCCCCTCTTTGGGACCGATGCTGCCGACCAGTTGTCCGCCCCCGGTTGCCTCAGCTGCCAAATCTGCTGACGGAGTTGCCCTTGCCGTGAGTAATTGCCTCGCCCAGTGCCACAAATGCCGCAAATGCCCTGCTCTGGATAGCAGTGCCTAAAATAAGTAACACAAAGTAGGGGTGGTGAAGCAAAAGCAGAAACTAAAAAAAGAGAGAAAAACCGGAGGCAAGTAAAGACGCCGATCGCTAATAAAAGGCACTGATGTCAGATGGAGACTGTGGCGATAGAACTGCATTACTCATACGCCCTGTCTGCCTGCCGCCCCTCGCGTGTCTAATTGCGCTGAAATTGAAGCGATTACCGCCGGTGCACGGTGTGGGTAATTAAATAGTTGTCGTGATAAAGTTGAGTAAATATTGAGATCATTATGGTAATTCCAGGTGCCCTGCAACCATCCAGCACCCAGCATCTTTGGCATTCGTTTTGCGCTCATTAAACTTGAGGCATGCCTTGCCATTTTGTTTTTGAGGCCTGCGATGCTCGGATTTGTCACCGATATATTGAAGTTATGCGATTTGGCACGCAGGTGTGCGGCGGCTCAAACAACTCTATACAAAATTCACATAATTTCCTCGCTTGGAGCGGGCGCAAAATGCATTAAACGCTCTTACTATGGCAATTGTCGATGCTGTTTTGTTTTCGTTTCATTTGTTTTTGGTACCCTGTAGTCGTAAAGTTTGAGGGTGTATTGGATCCAGCAACGTTTTGCCATATAACCCTTAGAAGATTTTATTTAAAAAAGGCTAGGTTATTAAAAATTCGATATATATTCTGGCGTTGACACCTATTTCTTATTTCATTTCGACTTAAAGTTCCACAAGCTTCGCGCATTCAATTCAATCAAAGCGCAACGCTCCGCTCGACTCGCCTTTGGCATTGTTTTCGGCATCTTTGTTGTTGCGCTGCTGCAGTCGTTGCAAAAATTGTTTAAAATTTCAAATTAGCTGCAGCTTGCATTGGTTAATGTTTCTACATTTGTTGCCAATTTTAGGAGCGGTCTCTTTAGCATTTTACACGGCCCCTGAATTCTGGAACGACTTCCTAACTGCCTCCCACTGCGGGTGATGAAACTTGTGTGTAGAACAATATTTGCTAGTCAATAAATCATTTACACCGTGGCAAGGTGCAATATATGGATATCTATATAGGAATATATAGGAAGTTTACCGTTGGCTTAGGTAGCACCTTAATTATCCACTACTATTAAAATTATAAGACTTTAATACTTTAAGACTTCTTATCCCAAATACTAAATTTTGTCACAAGGCGAATGTTAGATGATGGGATAAAGAAGTACGCAATATACACATGGTGAAATTCTAAATCTAAAATATGAGTGTGTGTATACTACTTCAAGTTAAACAAAGAGACTATATCATAAAGGTTCAAGGTTCAGTTTTGAATTCGTGTCTAATCTTAGTTTTTATACCCTTGCAGAGTGTATGTTCTTTTTTCTCAGAAAATTGAATAGATTGTTGGGCTTCTCTGTTTCTCAAAACTATTCTTTGTTCGGCTGTAAGTCGTTTCTTGTCCAAACAACACACAAAAATCACTTAAATTATGAAAAATTTCATAAAATCATAAAAAAAACTTAGTTTTTTTTCTCTATGTCAGCAAGTAATGATTTAAATATAGAATGTCATACACCGATAAATTCGTAATAAAATTATGAATCTGATAGCAAATTCGCCTAAAAATGTTGAAAATTTGCCATTTTTAACAACCGAAAAACCACTAAAAATATGATGTTTTTTAGCAAGATTGTCAAATAGTCTTTTTCAAATTAATTTTAATCAAATAACTAAAGGATCAGTTTAAATAAAATGCAAAAGTTCTCATTTCTGATATCCAAATAAATTGGCCAAAGTTTGAGAATCCCAACATGATTCATAGGGATTTTCCCGGCATTAACCCCGAATAAGGCCACGCTCGAGCGTACATATTTACGCGTTTTGAGCAAGTTTCCGTTTTGTACAAATACGAGCAAACAGGCAAATAATTATTGAGACAAACAAATATTGGCCCGTGTAAATGGCCAAGCCCCCAGGGCAAACAAAGAGCAATGGCTGAGCGGGCGAAAGGGGTTTTTCCGTTGGAAGGAAAACCGCAGGCACGACTGCGATAAAGGCGCCTAATAGAGCCGGGCTCTGACTCCACGCGTATAGTATACCCCTGGTCCGGTCTTTTGTGGTCCGATGTGTGGGGTTTTCGGTGCGTGTCCGACTTGATAATGTGCTGAGACTCCAGAGCTGCAACCGCAGACAAGACGATACGACTAGGGGTGAATCATCATGGCAGTATAGCGACCCGTGGAAACCAGAAGCCCAAGTGTCCACAAGCTTGGCACGAGCGCCTCGAGATCAGTGCTGTAGCTTCAGCCGCAAACTAGCTAAAACGTAAAGAATTGGTTTAAAAAATATATATATACTGTATATAGTAATGATTA